GTCCATGACACCGGTTGGAAGGCCCTTTAAATGGTAGTCCCACCACCTCAAGCACTCTTTTATGTGGTCTATACGAGGCCCTGGCGTGGACACACCAGGCCATTTATGAGGCCACGGTCCAATGAGCGCTCGAACTGGGCACTTCAGATGTTCCACCATACGAAATATAGCATCGGTATAGAGATCAGTAAATCCTCCCACAAGGAACACGGGACACCTGATGGAGGCGTAATCCTCAGAAATGGAACCATGCTGCCAGTATGCATCACGTGACTGATGTGAAAGCCAAATGTGTATCCAGGGTTCACTGGATTTGTTTAGGCGATCCAGCCAAGCTTCCTTCCATCTGTAAGGTTTACAGAAATAATATACTATGATAAACACCTAAAGAAATTTAATGCAAGATTTATCTGCGCGTTACACAAAAATATTTGATGGAGAAGAAATTTTTATTTTAGCTCGAATAAAACAACTACCTTGGCCCAAAGTTCTCAGGATAGGGAGGACGCGCATTATATAACATCATGAGATGTGACCATGATAACATTTCCCTGCCAAGAATACAGCCACCTCGGTAATGAATATCATCAGCGTATCGGTCATCACTAGAGTCAGCAGATATGATTGTCTTCAATGCTGTAGGTTGTCTGGCAGCTACTTGAAGGCCATTGAATCCTCCCCAGCTTTTACCATACATACCTGCAATTTATAATGGTAAGCCACGAAAATCACCACAGCCTACGAAGAAACTCGCCTACGAAGAAACTCATTATTCACGAAAACCACCGGTTGGTCTCCTTCGCGGCTGTTTTGGGATGTCACGTAATGACGCTCTTTCAAAGCTTTGCGTGACATGCTCAAAAAAATTATTGTTCTAAGAAAGTTCTCGCAGCAACAGGAATGGTCGCATCAAAAAATAATTTCAGCCGAGAGAAAGTTAATATAGTAGAGACTAGGACGTGCACAAAGGTCTTGGAGTGCATGTTGATTGAGTATCGTAAAAGCACAGCGTAGTAATCACAAAAGCCAGTCAAAGCAAACAGAAAAATTGCGAGGAGCCCATCAGAACTAAAAGAATAAACAAGCAAACCGCTTAAAGCACCAAAAACTCATCCGTTAACGATGAGTTTCACCTATGCATCTGATTGGTTGAAGAGGTGTATCATAAAAAAGTATAAAAAGTATAAAAAGTAGTGAAGCAAAACCAGTGTTACCTCGAATCACTTTCGAAATTCCTTTGAAAATTGCCCTATTGCAATGGTAAACCCTTCTCAAGTAGTTTTTAGGTTAAATTCAGGTTCAAGGTGCCTGGTTTTTCTTTTCTTTCTCGCCGAATAAAAAGACTCTTCTCTGGTTATCCGCGAAAATAAAACAATTCTCTCCTTGAGATCATCTAACCTACCAACGTTTCCCGTGCACCAAGGTTGTTGTGAAACCCAGTTGATGACATCACAGCAGTCATCTTGCTCTTGCTTTTCATATTCATCGTAATAAAATCCT